AATAGATTTATTCTAATATTTAATAATAATAATTATAAATATCTAAAAAGAAATTCATTTAGTGATAATTTATATGAAACATTTTAAGTTCAAAACAAATTATTATAAATGTATCAATAAGAATAAATTAATTATTCCCTAAAAATAGATATGCTGATAATTAATTAAAAATTATCATCAAAATTAAAATATCAGGAGCCAATATCATATATTTAATTGGCACTATAATTGTAACAGTAAATTAAATGATTTGATAATCTATAAATTTTTATTTAATGTTATTACTTTACTTCTTTCAATCAAATAATTTTTAAATCTAATGTAATTCTATAAATATGCTGACCTTAATGGAGAATTAGAGGTAGAGAAAATTGTTAAAAATACAAAATAATAGTCTCTTTATAAATAATAATCATTAATTGAAATAGAGATGCCTACTAAATAAGACTATTAAGTTAAATTTGAGAGAGATCTTGTTAAAATCATGAAATTAATATAATAAATGAATTAAAAGTAATCAAAAAAAGAGAAACTAAATTTATTCACTGAAATTAATTAATGTTAGTATATAAGCAACAAAATAAAAATTTAATCAATCATCAAAAAGAGAGCATAAGGTATAAGATATTAAAGTAGGAGTAAGAGGAAGTTTCATTTAAAGGACTAGAACATAAGAATACTAAATTAAATATATTTTACTTTATTAGGAGATTAGACAGGTGCCTCTTTAATGGTCAAGTATCTTAGATTAGATTTACTAAATTTTAAACTATTAAAAAATCTAAGCTTCTTTTTATATTAATAATATATTGTAAAATATTATTTGCAATCATAAATATTAAATGATAACAGAATAAATTATATACTTGCTTAAATTTATTGTATATATTTTATTTTAACAAAATAAAGAACTTTATGAAGCTTCAATAATTTAAATTCTAAATAAATAATAATAGAATTAAAATTAGAATTTAAAATTAAAATCTCATCATGATTATATAATTTGATTAATATTTTTAAATAATCATCTTAAAATGAATGATCTGATTTAGTTAATTTTTGTAGTCTACTTATTAATAGAGATTATATGAAATTACTTTAGGATTTAAAATTGATTAATATGCTTTTACCTTTCATTTCTTAATTGTTTTTAGATGTCATCTTAAGACTTCTAGGAATACTCTATCACTTTCTGGAATATTAAATTAATCTTCAATTCCAATCATTTCGCCTCCCCCTTTAAAAGATGTATAAGAAAGAATTAAATTCACCCTCATATTAGGAACACCAAGATCGAAATCATCTGTAGGTTTAATCATTGGATCTCACCAAAGGAAAATTTCCCAATGATAATCAATTAATACCCTCAGAAAAGTAAAAAAAAGAAATGGTAATTTGTTCATCTGTAAATAAAGCTTATTATAGTTTTAATATTAATCCAGACCTTGATAAATGTAATAACTTTGTATTTATGAATGATAGTAACTACCCTGACCAGATAAAAAATTCGATAGTTTAGTAAGTTCAAATCTAACAGTCACTAAAGATTGTTTTAGAGATGATTAGTACAGATACAGAGAAAATGTTTCTGCAATTTAATTGATACATCTAGAGTCAATTAATATACGTTTAATAAAGCAAATGGAAAATTTATATATGATGTTGTTGTGTTGAAGATTTAAGCACTGCTAATGGATACTCAGATAAACTAAATATAGAAGCTTGTCTTGTTCAAAATGATATTTGTAATAATAAAACTTGCTTATAATATGATTTAACTGGATATACTAATATTAAAGACAATGATAAATTTTCCTATTCTATTAAAGTATGTTCATATGATGTGTATACAGTCTTAAAAAATGAAATTTGTTAAAGCAACTACTAAAGAACAATTTATTAATAGTTTTTTACAATTTGGAATTGATTAATATACATGTTAAAAAAAAAACTGTGTTGTATTTTGTCAATATTATTCAGTTAATAAGTAATGTCTCTCAGTAACAAGAAATAAATTAAGTAGTATGACTATTTATGATCTTACTTTTAATTGGGCAGCTTATATACAGATAAGTTTTAAATGTTAATTCTAAGATAATTAATGCTAATCTTTTTCAGTTGTTACATTATGGGAAGATTTATAAAATTCATTAGGCTATACTAATTCCCTTCTCTAATATAGCATGCATATGGAATACAAAAATTAAAATTAGTAACTTGTCTCAAGATCAATTAAAATCTGTTCACAACCTGATTTGAATAAAATAGGAGGTAATTTTAATACTTTATGATAAATGTGCATTTATTTAGATAGTTATTGCACTTATAATTATGAAAATGTTGATATATAGAGATAAATAATTTCTATTAGAACCAAAGTGAAATATTGTAAATTTGATTCATTTTTAGGTTTTATTGATATAACTTCAGCTTAGACTGCTTGAATTCATTTAAAATTAATCCACTAACTTGTTCATATAGCAGTGATATTTCTTGTTTTTATGATA